AGAGTCGGTAACTCGCATGTTAAATTGTCCTTAATTGTTATGGCAGAATAGGAATTTTCAGTTATGGTTTAATTAGTTATTGACAGAATGTTTTTATATTTCATATTGTGGAAGTGTGAAAAGGAGCGGAAGTAGTGTGTCGGTGGTTGAACAACCTGAGAAAGAGACTCGCGCAGTACGGAAACAAATGCGAGAATTTGATGAGTCTCCTCTGCTCGCAACTCGTCCAACCCACAGCGTATGAAAGATCACAGAATGATCCACGGACGCCGGTTTGCCGACGAGTCATTCCGGATGAAGGCCGCAGAACTCACGAGCATTCACCATGAAATGCAGTCACCCTGGCAAAGGCCTCGTACCGGCAGAGTTAGCATTAGCGTTGTTTCTTCTTCTTGTCAGTCAGAAAAAAACTGTGGGGGTATTATGGAAAGACGTAGAATATGTGCACTGTTTCTTGAGCTTCGGGATCTCACATCTCTGCTATAACGAAAATATATGTAACGTTGAATTATGAACTCGTGTAGCAACGAGCGTTCTTGGGAAGAAATGATAAGGAAATATTCAATCCAATGTAGAAAAAAATTTCAAAGGCAAGTGAGGTGTATATTTTGGCTATTCTCACTTATCCTTCTGTTCATGACGGAAATCGGTTTTCTGCAGCAAGAAGCACTTGAGCACGACTATTTGAATCCCAACTGAGCTCAGGAAAACGTTGACAGGTAGTGAAACTACATTTATGTCCAGAATCAAAACAAGAGATCATATCAGCATTTGCTCAGTGGTTCAAGAAAAGTGAAAGCAAAAACTGATCAAGATGAGGGTCATTGGCTCAAAAGCTGATGTACGATACTTGTAACTCGTATTTTTATTCTTTTAGAATTAAACTGGTCTAATGGCAATTAATATATTGAATATCCTTGATGTTTAATTTGTATGATCAAACATATTTTCCCTTTTTATTCTGTATAGTTTCTAATTGAATAGAAACACTTACGAAGCAGAATAGTTACTTTTGATACGAATGGCAAAAGTGATCTTTTACTTTGCTAGCAGGAAAGGTTGCGGCATGAGGCCCATCTGTTGAGTAAAATCTCTTTTATCACGTGTATCATACACACTGTTTTTAGATAACCTTACTAACTTTCATTTTATTTTTATTGAAGTATACAAATCATATAATGATGCATAAAGGTCAGTAGTAGCTGATGCTGTCAGAGCGAAATTATTTCGTTCCCTTTGCTACATTTATTTCATTTGAATACTGTTTCACTTCATTTGAATACTTGAGAACTGTCTCACGTTTTGCACAAGTACTAAAAATTGAACTTTTAGCACTCTATGCGTACCATTAAAGAACCACTTTTACTATCGGCTGTCTACAAAGATGTTTCTTGGCCTTTAAACTTCTGTATCGATTTAATTTATTTATACCCTCAGACAATGGGTTGTAAAACAATGTACGTGTATGTGTATGTGAATTTTCGTAGCGATCTGTTGATACTGATATTTGATGAAAATGATTACTATGTCGAGAAATATAGTTAGAGATAACTATATTGACCGAAAAGTCATTTTGAGAAAAGCAGCTGATTCGTAATTCAAAAAGCAAGACAATTATGGTGCCTAGCTTAATAAAGAAATTCTTACAAGAATCACGTGAATGGGATTTGCTTATTATTTATACAATTATTTTCAGAAATCAAAAACACACGGAGCTATAAAATGTGTTATTCCAGAATATTATTTCATATCTCACGCGGGTACGCATCACGCATTTGAGTAAATGTACATAAAAAGAAAGTATACTTTCTTTAATTTGACTGGTGCTTGCTAGGTAGCATGAGAAGTAGAATCATCAAAAGGGAAGAGGCCAGAGAGAATGGATAGACAAAGAGTATGAAATAGAGAATACAGAGAGATAACCTTGTAATAAGGGAGAGATCTATTGTAAAGAATCATGTTGTGTGAATTGAGGAGCAGAGATGGTAGTTAACCTGAATTGTCGTTTCTTGTTTTACATCTAAAATTGTGGATAATGGTGTATATAATAGTTGAATAATGAATAAAATTTCTTCTTTGTTTACAAAAAAAAACATTTTTGTTCAATTAATTATCCTACACAAGTAATTGTATTATATACATATGGATCAGAATGAAAGCTGATTTAATTTGAAAGAATTCTGAACGCGCACAATAATAAACTTACTTTTGTGTTAAATTCTTCTAAATGAACGGTTCATTTCCGGCTTCTCTGACTTGAGAGACCGACAAAGTTTATTACCTCAACATCAGTCAATGGTATATTTTCATGTTCAATGTAGTGAAAAGTGAATTGTTTATAGAGAATAGTTATTCCGTTTCGAATCGACGAGGGCATATTGTTTACATATAATAAAAAATATTTTTGTACTTAATTAGTATTTAGAATAATAAACTCTGTATGTGACGTAAGAAGAAGACAGGGTCTGAAATTGAACCTGCGGGACCTCATTCGAAAATTGCAATGAATCGGAAAGGTGAGTGAATAATGTTTCTTCATTCCAGCATAGTATTACTACTTTCTGAGATAGCTTTTTAAGAAACGCACATAACCAATCTATAGGAATACCACGAATTCCTTGCGAAATAAATGTTGATAGTAAAATGTTATGATCAATGAAGTCAAATTCTTTTCGAAGTTCTAAAAATATTGTATTAATGCTTCATTGTGAATTATTGGTCTGTCCGTCTTCCCTTACCCTTCCGTCTCGTCTTGACCGTTTATCTCGTCTCGTATGGTCTGTTATGTCTCGAAAGTTTTTAGTACTCCGTCGTTCAATAAAAATATTGTAGAAATTTTTCTTCAAATAAAATTTTACCTTTAAAATTAGTGCTTTTATTTTACTGATTGCTTGTGATTGTCTTCGACATGAAATTCGATAAACACAACATATCTTACGGATAGGATCATGGTTACGAGCGTCATGGAAAGACATAGAGGTGCTAATGCGTATCATATCCGGATTCAGTCGATGAGCTTCCATCGCCATACTGGCAGGAATTTTAAATGCAATCACATACCAAAATTATCACGTTTTCACAAATCATTGAAACAGATATCAAGCATTTTTTAAAATATTGCATCTTTTATTTCAATTAGATCTTTATCGTGTTATTTTTAGTCGGTCACCCTTGAAAATTGTCACTTTATGCAGCTTTCAAAATGATTCTCAACACTTATCGGCCTCCATGCAACATAGCGGTTAGCGTCTGGTCTGGCTTTTCAAACGAAGTGCCCGTGCTCTGATCACCTGGTTCATGGCGTTAAATGGAGTTGCGCAGAACGAGCAAAAATCGGTGCGCCGCACTGGCTCACCAAGGTCTTTCCGTCATGGTTGAGAGGAAAATATGAAAATAGATAAATTATGTTACACATTATCTTATGGAGGGAATTATAGAAGGAAATAATGAGAGGGAAATATGAAATCATGTTATGAGAGAGAAATATGCAATATGTGTCATGTTAACATCTGGTTAATTAGTAAATCTGAGTCATTAAAATAGGGAAAAACTAAAATCGTTTATGTACCACAGGCGTTAACTGTTCTGGTGATTTCGGGCGACAAAAAGCCCTCGGGTCAAAGGCACTCGGGTATTCTGTCGCCATTCAATTATCAGAACCCTTAAAACGTCCTTGGTGCATAAAACCCTTTAATTAATATCTTTGTACTTCGCGCTAACATATTCGCACTGCATTGCATACTTTTTACAATCAGAACCAAGGTGTCCAGGCGTCCCGTATTACCCGGTACCAAAATGTACCTTTTTTGATAATGGCATATAATGCCATGAATACTTTTAAATTTATCATAATGTATTCCGTTTTATTCCGTTTTATTTGCATTATTTTATAAAAGAAATTAAATGCGAAGTGATATTATGCTTATGTGCCACGTAATAAGAATGTTAAGAGTCAGTTGTGGTTTCCAGGAAGGGAAAATGCAGCTATGGCGTCATTGGAACTTGTACATTCGATATGGTTATCGAGAATTTCTCTAATCCAATTAAGCTTCTGAGAGTTTCTTTGTGACTTGGCACGTAATCGAAATTAAGAAATACCGACCTAGTCCATAATTAATGAAAGTGCAAATGAAACCAATGCGTCTCTTTTCTTTATTTTTTAATGTTTCTTTCTAAGGGATTCTTTGCATGAACTGAAGCATGAACTGAATTCTACTATATAATGTAAGTCATACATATATGTATTTATTTAATATACATTTTGCATATACATAATACATTTAATATTATTTTCTAAACCTAATGACGACAAAATATTTTTCAACGCCAATTCTGCCAATTTTATCGATGTGACAAAGACTGTCTGGTTTTTAAAATATGGACACCTTAATCAGGACTCTTTATTTTCATTATGTCAAACTCAGCGATGCGCCTTCCCCACATGTGACAATTCTCTGTTCACTTTAATTCCTCTTCACATCTGTATTTTCGGCAGGGCCGCGACAACCCTAGTACATGCACCTCACAAGAGCAGTATTTGTGAAAAGGTGGCAAACATTTCGACATTTTTTTAATATCTGCATTATTTTTAATTTATTTTATTTTAAATTAAATAATTTATTCTGTTATTTACAAGTATAAAATTTCTTACACCGTTAAATTATGGGTCGAAAAAATAAATACACTTGTAATACAATTTTAGGAGATTTCATATAATATAAAGGCTCCCACAGATTAACGCGGAAGATCCACAGCGGGTGCAGCGCGGAAACGAAAGCTAGACGCTAACGCGGAAACGAACCCGCTAGACGCGTTGACGAAACCCGCGAGATCGTTCACACCGGAGCGTCAATGACAGCTGGCGACAGTTTTCCTCATCCTAAAGAGGCAAGGGAGCTCGAACCAGAGGGGAGCAAAGACACCCGAAAGTGGGCGGACTTCCACGAAGCTCGAGTGGAAGCGGGAAAAATGCGTCCGACTGCGTTACAAAATCCACCGATAAGAATGCGCTGCTAATCCTCTGCCGCGACGCTCGCCTGCCGCGCAGGTCTGATCGTCAGGCAACACGTGACGCGAAATTTCCACTCCGGTAATTCCGCGTAGGCTGAGGGGAGGGTCTTCCACGCCGATCTGCAGGAGCCTTTACTCACGAGGCATCTGTAATATCGCCGCTGGACTCTGACTGTGAGTAGCCCCATTTATTACGTCCACGACGTTTTGCATACAAGATTTCAGATTCAGATGATTCAGAATCTTGACGCTTGACTACAGTCGTTTAGGTATTATCTATAATATAAAAATGGGGTGAATACCAGAATTCGAAGATTAGAACGCGAAGGATGTAGGTATTTGTAAGGCTTAAAGCATTCGCGCACTAGCCCACATAGATCAAGTAATTCTCATTGTTCTTGGTAATAATCTATTAAATAAAATAAAAAATAATATAAAAAATGAATGGGCAAAGTGTCGTTGTAAGCGCATTAATCACAACGCCCTGGGACCGAATTTGGGCAATTTCTTTTTTAAATGTTCGTTGAGGTTCAAGGATGGTTTTAATCGTCGGAAAAATTTCGAGATAATGTGCCGAAAAACTAAAAACCAGCTGCTTTCTTTTTCCCATACCAAACAATTTTTCTAACTAAAATGTAGATTCAATTTGAGCTTTATAGCTGTTGTATAAAGCACTCATTGTTGTTAGTAGCACAAGCACTCATGGTTGTAGGTATGTTCCTGGTTTAGGTATTAAAATATATATTAATAAAGCAATATTTATCTTGACTCGGCGAAAACAAAGATATGAAATATAATCAGTCTGTGTTCTTAGAACGAACTTTAACATCATTCTACCACCGTCGTACTCGTTAAGGTTGTCTTTGTCATAAAATGTAGTGAAATTCAATGTGAATGCTGAATTTGTTTCCGAGAATATCGCATGTTTTAAAAGACATCCCCTTTTTGAGGCCAGTTTTATATGGAACGGAATAATTATTCCTAAGACCAATGTATTTGTACCCCCTTAAAGACAAACACCCCTCTTCCCGACCAACGACCACGAATTTTTGTCGCAATGTAACATCGCTTTCCATTTTACACGACCAAAAAACCTCGCACCACGTTTATGTACTACTGTGAGTCAAGCCTTTTAATTTATTTACTACTGGGGGTCAAGCCCCTTTTAATTTATCGTGAAATATCACGTGTGCGATCGCTGTTGCTTATCGGAGGCCTTCCAGGAAAAGTAAAGAAACCAAAAGAAACTATCACATTGTAAAGTTGAAAGATAATGTCACACAAGCAAAACAATAACCCTGGATTATTGTAATATAGAAGTGATTACTAAATTAGATCCTACACGTGAGGAAAAGAAAAAAGATTGAGATGAAGATGGCAGCACTGCCATTGAGTCGATTGCACACGTGGAACTTCAAAGTATCTCCAGCTCCTTCCTGTGAACTTGGTACTCAGAAACTGACAGGTTTAAAAGGGGAAACGGAATGGTTTGGTCAGGAAAATGTACCACTGATGTCAAAAACTCACTTCCTAAAGAAGGACAAATATTAAAGTACATTGTAGTAATATTAATTAATAAATACAGTTGGTCAAAGAGATTTTGTGATGCAATTAACTAAAGATTTCATTCGCAACAAGAATATTGTTAAGATTCCTATGGCAGTAGTCGCAGCAGTTCCACTAAATACAGTTTAATAGTGCAATGTTCACTTTAAGAAAACCTCTCCCCTAAAATACCAATTTTAAGGTATTAATCTCGTGTTTGGCTTGAGGGCGTTTTACTGTTCTTTAACGTGTTTCAAAATGCCAAATTAACACATGATAGAGATTAAGATCAGGTACCTAATACAATATCCAAAAAACAAATTATTATTTATATATTATGTGTGAAAAATGTGGAGCCTTTTAATTACAAAATAATTCTAATAGTTCTGCAAGAGATAATTAAAATCTATGTGACAAAATTCAAAATATTTTAACATGAAGACGGCAAACAAACATTTTGAAGATGAACGAAATGACAGTGAATGGGAATTGAATCAAACAAGCAAATGAAGAGTAAACATTCAAAAGGCCACATGTCCATTTCGTAAAATTTAATTCTTTTGTTATTTTTAAATAGAATCTTATTTACAGAAAAAAAGTGAATGTCATACAATACACATACGTGCTCAATCGTCCTTCTTTAGGGACGATAGCCCTTTTTTGCAGATTCTGCCCTTCCTCGAAAAGTGTTCTTCCTGTCCTCCTTTTCAAGGTTTTAAAACTTTTAATCCTTGGATTCAGAAATGCAGCGCCGAACTGTAGCGCGTCATGAGACGGGAAGACGCGTTAGTGCCTTTCCAAATTAGTTTCTTCTTAGCCAGATGGGCGAAATTTGTGCCGTGTTCAGTGGATTTATTCAAATTTTTTGCGGATAACGAAACAAATTGTGGAAAATAATTGAGGTAACGGAAAATAAGCGGAATTTTAATTATTAACTATTAATTTTGTTACAAAAAATGTTTTCTTCTAAAGAATTAAAGTTTTTACAGAAACACTTCCGAAAAGTATTAATAAATTAATTGTTTATATCGGCAGTTTTGTATATCTGTAATATATATATATATATATATATATATATATATATATTATACAGATATACTCCCAAAATACTTTTTTACAATGATCATTGTTGTTTTGATTAGTTGTTTTTGTTTTTTTACGCATTATTTATTCTACTTGTTCGACGTACAAATGTCTTTCAAGGATGTACAATTACATTATTTTCATAATTCAATAAACTAGAGCAAACCTTGTATTATAATTTATAAGGTTACATAGGAAGGGTCCTACATAATGTGTTAACAAATTAATATAAGATTTCCTTTTATTTTGAATTTCATACTGCTAATTAAGAATGTTGAAAAGAGAATTTTTGAAAAACGAGTCTTAATGCGGGAAAAATTATTACATGATTTGCGTAATTGAAATGTATTACTTGCTGAACAAGATGAAAGAGAAGAATAAAAACGATTTCATAATTTCATAATCGAGGAATCTACAGCCAGTTTTTTTTTAATTTGATCGTTACAAATAAAGCAAAGAGCTTTCAATATTTGATGTAAACATTTATTTTGAATAACTTATTGTGGAATAACTAAATGTCTTGACGTTTTTGCAAGCTGTTCACAGCAACATTTGTGGTGAATATTTTCTGATCACGCATGATCTTCCTCCAAAATTTCCAATATATTGTTAGAAAATGATATATTGGCAAAAAATATTCATTTAACGGAAAAATACTCGTTTCATTAAATAACTAAAAGGGGTGTAAGCATAATTAGTGCATTTTTGTTTGAATTAATAAAATACTTCATTTTTTACGTTGTACATTTTCTCAATTCTTTTCGCCCTCCTTTTAATGGTAAAAAATGGTCACCTTACCATACATTAAGTAGTACTATATTCGTTGAGTTATGCACGGTGTTGAAATGTGTAAAATTGATGCTATATTTTGTATTTTCATTGGGAAAGAGGGAATTGGAGGTGTCAAGTTTTCAGTATTTGCTTCTCAAATTACTTTGGCTGATTTTCAGGGGACGAGCCTTCCGCTTCCTCTGCTGAATGCCGTAGGCCCAACACGGGGACAGATAGCCGGTTTGGTGTCGGAAATGGGTTTAGGTGAAGCTATATCTTTGACCCCAGTGTATACGCTGGTAAGTCATGAATGCTTAAATTTTACAAGAGAGCCAAAACAACATATTTCTGCTGCTGGTATAAATCATAAATGCTTTCAAAAGATACCTACACATATATAGTTTAGTTTGAATATCCCCTTCGTTTGAATATCAATAATCCGTGATTAACTTCAGTTATGAGATGTTTTTTGCTCTCCTGTACAATTTAAGAAATCATGACTTATCAGGTTATTCACCGGGGTCAAAGATATGATTGTTAGATCTGTTCTACCACGCCAAAACATAAAATCCATGCGTAATGCATTATTGGAACACCCAGCCTCCAGAACCGAGGCTACCACGTGGCTCAGTGGCGAAGTCGCTTGCCTTCACCACTCATCTTCCGGGTTCGATTCCCGTAGAATCGCATATGAAATTTGTTAGGGCAAACCAAGTTTGTCGTACTAAACCTTACCCCTATCTTTATTCCTTCCCAATTCTGGCCGATGGGTAGATGACGCAGGGCGCGTGCGAGACGCGAGCGCGAAGACTACCTGTTGGCGATTCCCTGACTTGACTATGACTGACGTGACTTGACAATACAGCGATCCCTAGAGAGCGCTTATTAACGGAGGATTACTCCAGTGCGCTCAACGCTCCTTAAGGAGTTAGGAGACGCGTTGCGTCGATATAGACGTAACAAATTTTAAAAAACAAAAAACAATGAACATTCGCCTTTGCGATGGCAGCCACCGGGTCCGCAAAATGTTTTGTTTTTTTTTATCAGAGAATTTACTTGCCGATCTGGATGGCCCAGCTTGTGACGACTCAGCGCTTTGGTCCAAAGTAGCCAACCGTCGTCTATTTGGAAGGACAGTCCTCGATTGAAGTGAATTATCCTCTCGTCCTCCATTGCATTTTAAATGTCATCCTTTTAGTAACTATTTAATATTTGTTGTCATGTGCCTAACATCTGCTACACTGAATCGTTTATCGTTTAATTAGAATAAAAAGCACAAAGACATTTCTGAATGCCGACACACGCACATAACACACGCGTGCATGATAGTGTCTCTGTCTAGCGACTAAAATAAAAAAGAGTCGCTCAGACTAGCTTCATCAGACAAACCCTAGTCGAAAGGGTCCCGCCTAGAGCTTGGTTGTTTGTCCCATGTCTTCCATGTGTTGTCGCGGAAGGCCTCGCATATTGCTGACCCCAGATTGGAGGAGCCCGCAAGTGTATTGGTGTCTATTGTGGAGTGTTAATTTTTAGTTTTCTGTCCTCATGTATTGTAATTTGTCTTTGAACTCTAGCCCTGATGAAGAAATTAAATATTTCGAAACGTTAGCATAACTAATTGTTTCTTTATCCATATTGACCAATCCCGTCAATTACATCCCTTATTTCATAAATGGTCGTGATTTCGACAGTGATGAAATAGTACTAAGAAGTGAAGAATATAACGATAATACAATTCTCAATTATTTTCTGGCAAACATATTTTCCTATTCACC